GTTCAAAATCCTTTGCAATGTTTTTAATTTTACTACAAGGATAAAATCGATTGAAAAAAGAACTATAAAAATGTTTTTTTCTAATTAGAAGAAATAGAAGTGGACTAAAACTAAATAATTTTCCTGAAAATTGGTGCGCGATTGGACTTTGCATCAAATTCTTCTATTGAAGTAACGAAACATATCGATCATCTTTGTATCGAATATTGAAATAATTATAACAGGCTACTTATTGTTTTCATTAAAATAATAGCAGATAATAGCCGCTCAAAATTAGAACCAAATAATATACTTTTTTAGCTTTACTTTTCGTTCCAGCTATTTTTCGGTAAAAATACTGCACATATCTGGAATATTTTAAGAAATCGTGGAAGATGCGGAGATTTTCGGTATTTCGGTAAAGACGGTTTTATTTCGGTAGCAATATTGAAAAATCGGTAGGTTTGGCAACACTGGATCACACTCACATGACACTGACTCTTTTCATGACTTATGTTCGTATTTATCGGTACCTCGGGGGCAGCGGCTTCCCCTGAGTTATCGGTCATTGGCGCATGGGTGGTATCATTATTGAAATTGCATAGTTGTCATATTTTTGATTATAGGCAACCAGGCTTTATATATTTTAAACGGTTCCTCTGATTTGGTGAAGTTGTCCGGATATTTTTAGATTTCAATGAACAACTTCAACAAATCAGAGAAAGCAACCAACCACCTGTAAGTGATGTTCGATCCTATTTATGTGAAGGTCTCGTCAAAGTTGCTCACCAAGTCCACGAGTTCAAAGCGCGCACCCAGTGAAGGAAAGCGACATGCCCCCCCCTACCTTCCTCCCCTCTGGCTGCCTATGAACTTATTTTCTTCAAAGCCCAGTTGTTGCAACAATAAGGTGATACATAGGGAGCGGGGGAGCTATTTACTTCGACGAGACCTTCGCATAATTAGGATCGAACATCTCTTACAGGTAAGTTCATTTGATCAAGTAATTATTCATGTTCCGGTCTCGTCGAAGTAAACATTACTTGTAGATGTTCAAAGCGAGTTGCAACAGCATACTACTAACGCTCGTTAATAGTAAACGATAGGTTTTACATAACTTCACAAATTGTATCTAACGTATGTGTCAACCAAATGTACATTTCCATTGTAACAACTCAAGTTAGGGCTTTTAACAACAGTTAATTTGATATACATAGGTTCAAAAATTACCATTCATTACATGGTAACAAGCAAATAACGTAATAACATAGTTATGTTGAAAGTGTGGAGACTGCCGCTTGAGCAAAGCTATTGTTTGGCATAAGAAATCTGTGAGGTGTCTCAGAAAACGCGATCCAGCCCGCCGCGAGCCTGAGCCTACTATAATTTAGCAGGCGCAGAGGTAGAAGCATTTCATGTACTGTGTGGGCTGTCCATTGTGATACATCTAGATCACTCTCTGCTGAAACCGACTTTATCCATCTGGAAGCAGAGTCACCATGATAAAGTTACTCTGCAGTGACAAATAAATGCTTTGACTGCACAGATATTTGGGTGTAAAATACGGTTAAACTAAAAGCGGTTGCCACATGAGTGGCCCCGAGACTTTCAAAAACTGAGAAATCCCAATTCCAATATTATTCAACCCGATCCGTATGTTGTCTGTTTCAACTAGTTTGTACACTCTGACCTAAGGTTACGGCTAGCAGTGTTGCTTTCTCCCTCGTCCGAATATCTACAGAGGTCACCTTGGTTTGGTTGAGAACAACCACAGTATCTATATTTCAGTTGAGATGGCCTCAGCCTGTAAATGCTCTTCAAAAACTATCTTATGCCTGCATCGTCAGTAGCATTTTGGGTAAAAGACTGATAGCTCAAACAATTATATCTTAATCTCTTATCACACTGTAAGGTGAGAAATTTCAAGGTAGAAAAACAGACATGTATTTCTTCCCGACAAAGGTGTTACCGTAATCTAAGCCCACTATAACATGATGGATTATAAATGCTGATTGAAATGACAGCTTTACAGTGACGACAGCCAGGGTAAGCTTTAGAATTAGTGGGAGTGGCGTCCTGGGTCCCTCCATCAGATCTTTGCGTTACTTCTAGAAACGAAATTTCAGAAACACCGAACGCATGAACCAAAATCAGGACGGTGACAGGCGTATCCACCACTTCGTTTCTACGTCTCACTGACGCAAACGCTCATCTGTACCAGTATTACTCCTAGATAATATATTTGACGCGAGGGCAGTAAGATCTCTCTCTTTACACAACTGCCATAGCTCTCCCGCTACATGGTCCAGACGTGGAAACTAGAAGCTCCCCATTCTATTGATGTAGGATATAGTTGTCGCATGATCCATGGGGTATATAATATTAGACACCCCATCGATTCAGGAGCAAAGCATTCACAAAGGAAAACTGCCAGTAGTTATAGATGATTAGCATGTGGGATCTTCTTTTTGGGTGACCAAAAACTATGAGACTTTTGCCTTGACCAACGGATGTCCCAGTCCGAGAAATTATACAACTAAAAATTTTAAAATTCAGTTCCTCAGGGTACACCGTATATCGCTAGAATAGAACAGAATTTATTCATCTATCGTCATCAACAAGACCTGCTTTCGAAATGTCAGCCTTGGAACAATGCCCGAACATTGATAATATGAAGGTCGCCGCATCATCGTGGTGATGCGTCATCTATTGACACAGAATACATGGCCTTTAAGACATCACAATTCAGAGCTATCTTTCTATCTGAAATGCTATTAAAAAAATTATTAAACTGATCAGCTGTCGTTGGAATCATATTTTGAAGTAATTTTCCTCTTTTCCTCTTACTCTTTATCATGCTCCACATGCATCTAGTTGAGTTCTTTGATATCCTTATTGTTGAATTTACTTTTTGTGTTGATAATTTCCCATGTATATCATTTTTGATATTCCTTTAAAAATTTTTTGTTACTTGGAGTTTCGTACTGCTTGCACTTCTCCCAGAAAATGAATCACTATCACAAACCATGTGGAATTTGCTATCACAAGAAAAATGTAACGCTAGTCTACCATATATGTACCCAATTTTTATCTGTTATAAATGATAAATGCTATATTGCTACATAGATGAAACCTAATCTCTATCTGTTATTAATGAGAAATGGTACGTCGACGGTTTCCTAAGCTGTCATGATTACAATTCTGTTAGAAGGTTATCGCAAACCAGATGGAATTTGCTATCATAAGCAAAATGTAACGCTAACCTTGCATAAGATACCTAATTTCTATCTGCTAATAAGAAAAAAATATGCCTTTACGATTTCCTAACCTGCCATGTTCAAACTTACAGTCCTGTTCCATGAGATTTTTGTTCATACTTTGTTGCTACGTTGTCCTAAACACTTTCAGTATTGTTATTTCTCGTAAAATAGTAGTCATCACAAGCTGAGTACAAGTTACCATCACAAGCAACGGAGTTCAGTGTTGATTCATTATCCCAAACGTCTTCATTCGTCCTTGGTGTGGACCTGACTATCACAAGCTAGGTCCATGTTGCTATCACAAGCAACCGAGTCCAATGTTATAGCTTTATCCCAAACGTCTTCGTTCATCCTTTGTGTGGAGCTGACTATCACAGGCCAGGTCCCCATTGCTATCCCAAGCAATCGAGTCCAACGTTATCTCGAACGAATTTGTTCGTCCTTGGTATGGAGTTGGCTATCACAAGCTAGGTCAAGGTTGCTAACCCAAGCAACAGTGTCAGAACGTTATCCCAATCGTCGTGTCAGGCACAGTCTGCAGCTCCGGTAAGTCATCCATACTAACATTCAACTAACTTGCTCCTAAAACAGATCGGTTAGTCAGCAACTTCCTGATGGTGACGCCCCTTCAGAAAAAGATGCCTGCACGCCACTTTCTAATTTTGCTCCGCGGCAAAAGGAACCTTGTAGGCGACCGTTCGTCGGCAGCTCGCCGACAATGCACATCTTTCGGCCAACCTTCTGTCCTGTTTTCTAACTGTTCAGCGATCCTTGAAACTGCTGAAAATGTAAAAATCGGTGCGCGAAACCGATTGATATGTTAACAAAGAATGAGTCAATGAGTGTTTTTAGGCTGCCAGAGGGGAGGAACGTAGGTGGGACGCGGTGCCGCTTTCCTTCGCTGCCGCTGCGCGCTTTCAATTCGTGGGTTTGGTGAGCTGCGATGGTAGTAGAAGTAGTATTAACTTCGACTAGATCGGAACATAATGTGCTGATAATTCGAAATAGATCGTTGGCATTGCGTGCTGCATTGTCGTGAAGGCCACTGCCGACTGTGGCAAGCGCAATAGGTAACTAACTCGAACTACTATGTATGTTATATATTTTTTTTTATATTTTAGGAATATTTGGGTATTAGGAGTACGTACCACTCAAGCGTTCTGTGATGATTTTGTAAATGATATTTCGCCTACTTGCGTTGCTCAGTATATAGTCATTGTTTTGACGAAAACTCCTATGTGTTTAGAAACAGTATTTAAAGAATGACACAAAAACTCATTCAAACTCAAAGAACTGGTTTTGCTTCCATTCACACCGATTTTTAGTAAAGCTACTAAATTACTTATTATGAAACACTTATGCTCCGATTTGGAAAAATTGTTACATAGGAAGTTTCATCAAAACAACGACAGTATATGAATATTTCGTCAGTGCGCACATGTGTTATAACGTAGGCTGCAAGCTGTATGCGGTTGAAAATTGTTGCATGTTTGGTGTCAGTCTATTATTAAAAAGCTGCTGATTGCGATAATATTCTCCATCTGTTAGGCTTAATGAGTCACACATATGCCATGGGAACAGACAAATATGACAGACTTATTTTATATATTTTGCTCGAAGATAATTCATACCTAAGTGCACCTACCTAGTCACGATTCGATTAGATCTTTTGAAACGACTTGACTCACCCTTACCTTTGAAACCTGCAGCGAAGGCATAGTTTTTTATAATCTAATAATAAATTATCTTCTCCATTTCCAGGTATGTTGTATTTTACACTCCGATGGATGTTGGTTATAAACTTGCAAAATTTCTGCCAGTGAAGATAATTTTCTCGGCAATGAAAGAGATATACCGTTGTAAAAAGGTGTACGACGGGGTAACTCATGCTGCTAAACTGTATCCGAATGCGTACCTGATCATGATCATTATCGGAACCATCAAAGGTAATGGAGCGGGATTTACAAGGCTGTTCGAAAGGCTCATCAGAGGAGTTTGGACACCTACAGTCATCGAGTTTATGCAGCCCAGTTTGTGAGTAGCTAGACATTAAGGCTGTAAATTGTTTATTTTCACACTACCCTAATGTTGCGACTAATACACCCTATGGGCGTTGTAATAAATATCTCGGGTAACACATGGTATTATACGAAACATGGAGAATTAAAGCCACGATAGACTGAAACAGTTCTCAAAATGGCCTATTCTTCTATAGGTTTACGAATACAGTATTTTGGTCGATTTCAGCGATCCGAGATCGTCATCCACTGTCAATTGTCACTTGATACAGCATTGCTAGACTGAGGGCCAATTTCAGCAGCTTTAATATTTAACGGTCACTTGGACCAATGGGAAAATACCTTATCTAAATGGAATTTGCCGGAAGCTGTCAAAGCTCTCTGAATATCAGTGATTTCTATTGAACTATTGAATAAAATCGTGAAAAAGCGATTGTATTATAAACAAGAGCACTTTTTGATTCCAACATGATGCTTTTGTATGGAGGAAACAAGACAACTTACATGTATTCGATTATCACTTTAGGCAATGGGAATGCGAGAAATACTAGGTCGATTTTCCAGCTGTTTTTAATTTCAACAGCAGGTTTGGACGTTTGTTAATGCATGGCAATCTCGAGTTTGTCAAGTTCAATATACTGAGTGCTTATATGTTATCATTAGAGCTACATACCTGTTGAAATATATGGGAACAGGTATTTGTGCGTATTTTGTATGGAAAAAGAATACAAAATGTATTCCGACTGATTAGTCATTTATTATCAATTTATGGGTTAATGAATTTCGTCAAAACAATCAAAACAGTATGTAGTGTCCATTCTAAAACACCTGTATCTGTAAAACGTGTCAATCCCTACATCTCCGTGGTGCATAATGGAATTACTATAGACATACCTGTGGATCTAAAATTATTAGTAATTACTGAAAAATAAGAGCTAAAAAAAATATATTCGTAATAAAATATTGGTGGTCAAGCTTTTCGACTGGTGGAGACACAGAACATATATATACTGAAGAAGTTTACTTCCACGGTCCACGCTATTCAAGGGCAAACTCGCCTGACTTATGTCATGTCAGCGGCCATTTCTGAGGTTGCGCCATGGTTGACAGATTGTGCAGTTGTAGCCCGCAACGTATCTAGCTCAACATATAGATATGAGATTGCTAAAGTTTTATGTATGTATATAGAAATTTGGTGGTACATGATAGATATAATAGCATGTGTTATTCACAATTTGCGCTATCGTGACGAATAAGTGCTTTTTTGAATGTTAAAATAGCAATGTCGATAACACAAGCTGTTATGAGATCACTCATGGGACAGTGATGGGACATTTTACGCATAGTGATCGGTGTTCGAAGTGGGGAAAGTGATATTTCTCAGGCACCAAGAGGAAAGGTTATAAGAGTTCCATCTGACACGCGTGGAATATTTTTAGAAGTCAGATTTAGGTATTCATGACCTGAAGCAATCCTGCTAGTGTTTTCTACTATCTTGTGCTTTGAATTCTATCTTTGAATGCTGTTTGCTCGTGATTTACAATTCTTTTTATCGATAATTCACCATAATAGCACAGAAAGGAACAAAGAATCGAAAAATCTGTTTCATTGACAGATTATTGCACGAGACACGACATGGGAGTTGGTTAATGTTGTTTTGTGAGCAAATTTGGGATTAACGGGATTAGCTAAGGTAAAGTATTTTAAACACAAAAAATTGCGCTAGTTTTATCAGAGGAAAACACTATATCTCTGAGCCACAGATGCAAAGCGAATCTCAGGCTTCCGATTCCAGTTCTAGGAACTGGTTCGCGAACAAACTACTTTATGCAACACTACCACAAGAAATATAGAAACATTAAAAAGTGGATATTCCAATGTTTCAGCCAAGATGAAGTTAAAGCGATTCATTCATACTTCTGAACCGTTCCAATGCATTCCACTAATCACAAATACAGTCTCCTGGGCATTAAAATTATGAGGCACTAATTTCAAATGTCAATTCCTTAATATTAAGATAAAAATATTTATATGGAAATTGGCTGAAAAGTAGTAGTTACTGTAAATCGTAGTTTTGTGATGGTACCCTTTACATAACCACGCATTTAGGGTTTGCAGGCTTAACGTGTACAGGACAGTGTAATATGTAATTCTGCACTAAAAATCTTGGATAGGGACTTTTTATATGGAAATTAATTTTTCCAAAATACCATTTACCAGCAGTACCTCGACGTCAAATATCAACACAGAACAAGTGACGTTGGAGAATAGACCACAGGAGATTGTTTATAAATCATAAGACGGAAAGGATGCGAATTTTGACACCTCTGAGTTGCCATATTTCACCACCTGAGAGGTGTATGGTCACATCGTGGTTGACAGTGATTTGAAATATATTAATCCTGTCAATCATACACGTTAGAGCTAAAAAGCTGTATGACATTGAAACTTAAAAAGAGTAAAAAGGCATATTTGCTTAAAATGAGTGAATAATTAATAACATAAACAATAAATAATCAAAAACAACAAATGAACAAAATCAGTAACTGAAACAGTATTTAATAAAACAACATAATAAACGAAATACGTATGTATGTAGGGGGGGGGGGGTGGCTTTGAACAAAATACCATTAGCCACAGATTTTTTAAATTTGTATTACGTGGTGCATTATATCACCACCTTAGCTAATTTTGCGAACTCAACTGTTTTGTCCAGGATGCACTTTCTGTTTAAACTTAGCAATGATGAGAATTGGATTGGAAGTGACATTTGATCCTCCAAAATTAGTATTAAATTAGAAACATGAGGCTCATTTCCTGTGCATTCAAAGAAAATATGGTTTAAATCTGCTACTTTGGTGTTGTCGCAGTCGCACCAGTTATTATCAATGATTCCCATTCTGTAAAGGTGGTCTCCGAATCTACCATGATTTAGTCTCAATCTCGTTATTAGGGTAGAGTAAAATCTTCCGACTGGATAATAGGAAATGTGTGATGACCTGACTGGTAAGAAAGGAGTGATTATTGCATACGGGTTTCTAGAATTACTAAAATATATGCTCCATCGCTGTTTCCATGAGGCTAGCATATTATTTTTGAAATTATTATTTATATCATTTATTGAAACATATTTTTTGTACTCAGTAGTTTCTACAAAACAAGCTTCTCTGGCCGCCTTGTCAGCTATCTCATTACCACGTATTCCTGGGTGTGCTTTCGACCAGACAAAATTAACTTTTATGCCTTTCTTTGCTAACTCGCACAAGGTACCCTTATTTCCATTATGATTTCACTATTGAAATATTTAATAGCTGACCCTTCTAAGCTCTTAAGCACCGATTGAGAATCTGAAATTATGGCTACAATGGTAAGCTCTTTTATATTAATCTTCATCCAGTCCAGTGTAGATTTTATAGCTAAAGATTCCGCTGTGAAGATTGAACAGATTTCCGGGATACAAAACCGGCCAATGATATTATGAAATGGACTAAAGATAAAGTATGCATAGCCAGTGCCATTGGAACTTTTATATCCGTCTGTATATATATGAATAACCGATTCATTGCTCCTTAGTACACTAGATAGTATGAAGTTATTTAGAGAGGTGTGTTCCGTATAGTTTGGAAAGGTTTTTTCCAACTACCACGAGGGCCTAAGGCCTAAGCACCCATTGGGTACCGTGGGGCTATGGGGGATACATGGGAAAGGGGGGACGCCACACGGACTCTGGCGAGGGAACACGTGTGAATGCAACATGCACACATTCTGGCTCCGCCTACGGAACCGCCGGGTGGTACCTCCACGTTAGACAGTCAGAGACCATCTACCACCTACGGACAATCACAACATCCATGGCCAAGAGAAACATTTCTCCTGGGACGGGACTCGAACCCGCACAGCGCACGGCGGCTGATCAGGAGACCGAAGAGTCTACTACTGCGGCCACCGCTGCTGCCTAAAACAAACACACAACATCCATGGCGAAGGCGAGATTCGAACTCGCGGCCCGGCCGGCCGGCTGATCAGTAGCACGACACTCTGACCCACGCGGCCAACCGAGGTCCCGAGGTTACTTCGAATTTAGATGTAATGACTTCAAGAGGATGTTTAAAACTTGGAAGCTTTCCTGAATAAATGAAATATTGTTGGAATTTGCTGGTACCAGTGAAGGCTGTTAAAAATAATGGAGATTCTTTGTATCGCCAGTATGGATGACAAAGGTCATTAACACTGGCCACTGATATTTTTCCAGTAAGGAGTGTATTAGATGATCTGTATTTAATTAATAACTTATGCGCCAAGTATTTACGTCTGATATCCAAAGGAGGTTCATTACATTCGGCAAGTAAGGCAGGACATGGAGATGACCTCATTGCCCCGACACTGATATGCAATACCTTGAATTGGATCCTATCTAAAGTCTTTAAATGTGTATTTGCTGCAGAATCATAGAGTACACATCCATAGTCTAGAATAGACCTAATGTAGGACCTGTAGAACTGAAGAGAAATACAAGGATCCGCTCCTTATTTCGATTTTGTGATGAACCGACGCATGTTCAGTAGTTTTTCACAACGATCCTTTATGTAGTGAATGTATTTATTCCACAATAACTTAGAATCTAAGACAACTCCTAAGTACTCATACTTGATGTGGTCAAGCACTCGAAAGCTGATGTCTCGGATTTTTAACTCGGTGCCCACGTTATTTAACCTGCGTCGTGCGAAAAACACGATAGCAGATTTTTCCGCGGACATAATGAGTCCCATTTCTCTAAGCCAATTTTAAACACAATACACTACGTACTTCAGTTTTCTCATACATTGCTCTACTGAACTATGGCTTGTGTATATGCAAATGTCATCCGCGTATTGAATAACATTGATGTCATCGTCCATTAAGTCGTGCAATCCAACAGTGTATATATTGAATAATATAGGTGAAAGAATTGATCCTTGAGGAATACCATTAGTGACAACACGTGGTCCGTACAGTTCATTTCTATGATTACGTATA